ACCCCTCAACGGACGCCCCTTGGCGTCCTAGCAGAGGAGGAGGAGGCAGAGGAGGAGGAAGAAGACGAGGCCCTGGAGGCCTCAAAATCTGCGATGAGAGAAGGGTCCGTAATGAAAGACCCAGGGACCCATGACCTGTCCTCGGGACCAAAACCCTCCCAGTCAACGAGGTATTGCCGTCCCCATCCCCGGGGACGAACGTCGAGGAGCCGCCGGACCGGATAAACCATGCCACCTTCAAAGGAACGAGGAGGAGGAGGAGGAACAGCAGAGGGACACAGGGGACTAGACAAAACAGGCTTGACGAGGGACACATGAAACACAGGGTGGACCCTAAGGGAGGAAGGAAGGGTTAAACGGACAGTGGAGGGGCTAGGGACTGCAGCAATGGTGTAGGGACCAATGAAACGAGGAGAGAGCTTCCGATTGGAGGCTCTCAGGCGTATGTCACTGGTGGACAGCCACACCCGTTGTCCAGGAACGTACTGAGGAGCAGGACGTCAGTGCCGGTCAGCAACTCTCTTGTTGCGCTCGGCCGTACGTCCCGCGACGGTCTGTGTCCACATACGCCGGGCCCCACGGAGAAAATGTGGAACCGAAGAGGTGGCACTTACTTGGTCCGAGGGAAACAGGGGAGGTTGGAAACCCAGTGACGTCTCAAAGGGGGATCTGCCGGAGGATGAGGAGACTTGACTGTTGTGCGCGTATTCCACCCAGGGAAGCTGAGCGCTCCAGCTAGAAGGGTTAGTGGCACAAACACAACGCAGGGTGGCTTCCAGCTCCTGGTTTAGCCACTCACATTGCCCATTAGACTGGGGGTGGAAACCCGACGTGAGCGAGACCTTGGCCCCCAGGTCGGCGGCAAACTCCTTCCACAACTGTGAGATGAACTGGGGACCCCGGTCCGATAGGATGTCCTGAGGGATTCCGTGAAGGCAGAACACATGTTTAATCAACAGTTGGGCAGTAACCGAGGAGGAAGGGAGTGACTTCAGGGGAACAAGGTGGCAGGCTTTGGAAAAACCATCTACAATAGACAGAATTACAGAAAAACCATGAGAAGGGGGAAGACCAGTAACAAAATCCAGGGCAATATGGGACCAAGGTCGTGAGGGGATGGGAAGAGGTTGGAGAAGACCGGCAGGTGGCTGGTTGGTGCCCTTACCTCTGGCACAGTCATGGCAGGCAGCTATATAGTCCTTGACGTCCCTGTAAAGGGACGGCCACCAGAACGTGCGCCGAATGAGGGCCACAGTACGTCCCACCCCGGGGTGCATAGAAAAACGCCCAGTGTGAGCCCAGTGGATGACGGGGCCTCTGACTTGGCTGGGAACAAAAAGTAGGTCACGAGGTGTGATACCTGGGCCTGGGTTGGTCTTAAGGGCTTGGAGAACCTTGGTTCGGATGTCCCAGGTTAGGGGTCCCACGACGCAGGAGGGAGGGATGATGGTGGCTGGCTCCAGATCATTGTCAGGGGAAAACTGCCGGGAGAGGGCGTCGGGTTTGACGTTTTTAGAACCTGGTCTGTAGGAAATAATAAAGTTAAAACGAGAAAAGAATAGGGACCAACAATTCTGTCGGGGGTTGAGTCTCTTGCCATCCTTGATAAAGCCAAATTCTTGTGGTCCGTCCAGATAACCACTGGCCAATGCCTCCACTCCTCCAAAGCGAGCTTAACAGCGAGGAGTTCCCGGTCTCCGACATCGTAGTTCCTTTTTGCAGGGGACAAACGTCGGGAAAAGAAAGCACAGGGGTGGAGAGCATTATCGTTGGGATTTACCTGGGACAGCACAGCTCCAACTCCGGCGTCTGAGGCGTCGACCTCCAAGGTGAACTGCCGGGTGTCGTCCGGTCGGGTCAGGACAGGGGCCTGGGTGAACCGGTGTTTGAGCTGGTCAAAGGCAGCCTGGGCCTGGTGAGTCCAAACAAAGGGTCTGGAAATGGAAGTTAAGCTGGTGAGAGGGGCCGCTACCTGACTGTAGCCTCGGATAAAACGTCGATAAAAGTTCGCGAAGCCCAGAAAACATTGCAACTGTTTTCTGGAGGTGGGAGTGGCCCAGTCCAGAATGGCCTGGGTCTTCTCAGGATCCGCTTTTAACCGCCCGCTCTCCAGGATGAAACCCAAAAACTTGACTGGTGGCACATGAAACTCGCACTTCTCTGCTTTGACAAATAACCTGTTCTGGAGAAGGCGCTGAAGTACTGCCCTCACATGCTCCTCGTGTTCCACAGAGTCCTTAGAAAAAATCAGGAGGTCATCTAAGTAGACAGAAACAAAGCGGTTAATGAAATCCCCCAGCACTGAATTGATTAGAGTCTGGAACACAGCACGAGCGTTAGTTAGACCAAACTGCATTACTAAATACTCGTAATGGCCAAGGGGGTCTTAAAGGCGGTCTTCCACTCGTCACCCTCTTTTATCCTGACCAGGTGGTAAGCGTTTCTTAGATCCAGCTTAGTGAAGATTGTAGCTCCCTGTACGGGTTCAAAAGTGGATGAGAGGAGAGGCAGAGCATACTTATTTTTGACAGAGATGTTATTGAGACCGCGGTAGTCAATACAGGGTCGCAAGGTACCATCCTTCTTGGGGACAAAGAAGAACCCCGCACCCAAAGGAGAGGTCGAGGGTCGAATCAATCCAGCAGCCAAGCTCTCAGTAATATATTTCTGCATGCTCTCCCTCTCAGGTTTGGAGAGGCTGTAAAGGTGACTAGTAGGGAGAGGTGCTCCAGGGAGTAAATCTATGCTGCAGTCAAACGGTCGGTGAGGCGGAAGGGAGGCTGCATGATCCTTACTGAAAACATTCTTAAGGTCATGATAACACTCAGGGACTCCAGAGAGGTCTGGGGGCTCAGAAAGAGGGGAGCGGTCACCACTGGGGAAAGGAAGTGCGGAACTGAGGCACGATGCGGAACAATGGGGGCTCCAGGTCTCTATGCGGTTAGACTACCAGTTGATGTGGGGGTTGTGAACAGAGAGCCAGGAATGCCCAAGGTCTATAGGGGCATTTCGGGATGGAAAAACAACAAATGAGAGTTCCCCAGAGTGATTACCGGATATTCTGAGAGTGAGGGGGGTGGTGCGATGTGTTATGGTAGTGAGTGAATTTCCATCTAGCGAAGAGACAGCTAGAGGAGAAGACAAGGGAACGGTGGAAAGCCCCGGCTGTTTAACCAGCTCTGTATCCATAAGGGACTGCTCACAGCCAGAATCTAACAAAGCATGGCAGTCGAGTGCGTGAAACCTGGAAACTAAGGTACAGGGAATGATGCTACGAGAGGTTCCACTGGTTACACTGCCCATCATTACTCTCGTTTCTAATGACGGGCCTTGTCTTTTTAACGAAGGGCACTTGGAGACATAATGACCTGCGAGGCCACAATATAAACAAAGACCTGACCTGCGGCGTAGCTGCTTCTCCTCTGGGTCCAGATGTGTCCGACCTAGTTCCATGAGTTCCACCATTGGGCCTTGGCTCTTAGGTAGCGACGGGTGCTGAGGGGACAGGTTAGAGTGTGAGGAATGTGTACCTGTATGTCTCTCCCGGTGCCTTTTGTCGATGCAGATCGCCAATTTGATCAACTCATTAAGTGTGGCGGGCTCGGCACAAAACGCTAGTTGGTCCTTAATCCTCTCAGATAAGGCTTTGGTGAAGACCCCCTTTTGCGCCTCTTCATTCCAGTTCGTGGAAGTAGCGATGGTCCGAAAGTCAATGGCGAAATCCGCTACCGATCTCCGTCCTTGAACCAAGTGCAGCAATTTGCGTGCCACGTCACCCGGTGATTCCTCACATCTGAACGTCAATTTAAATTCCTTCACAAACTCAGAAAAAGGGCCGGTTAAAAAAGCTTCCTCATTGCTCCTAGCCTCAGCCCACCTGAGAGCTCGTCCGCGGAGCAACCCAATAACATACGAAATCCGAGCAGTGTCTGAACTAAAAGAGTCCGGTGGAGCATCCAACGCTAAATTACACTGAAGCAAAAAACTCTGGCATTCAGAGGACTCACCCTCAAAAGTGACAACAGGCGGTGAGGAGGCAAGCCGGAATTTCTGGAGAGCCGGGAGTTCCTGAGAAACGGCTCCGGGTGGAACTACAGGATCCGTGCATTTTTAGTCCTGGACTTATTTTCACACAAAACTTAAAATAATGTTTCCCTCTGTTTGAAAAAAAAAGTGCTTTCTTGGTATCACAATGTGTCTTTAAATTCACGGATATCATATGTGAAACCCATGGCACATAACAAGTGGAATTAGAAAATAGCGTTTTTAGCCCCATTAACTTACATTCCCTTTTTCGTTCTTCCGGGGACCCATGGCCCAGAAGTAGATGGGTGTGACTTAGGCTCCCAATGGGTCTTGTCTGGTGTGGTAGATCTTGGCCTCTGTTGCTCTGGTGTTCAGGGCCTGTTCCTGTGCAGCCATTGGTAGGATTTCTTGATATGAGCCACTTCAGTTATCTGTTGGTGGTACATCCCATGTAGGGATTTGTCTTCCTACAATGCTATTTTCAGCACCTCCTCCTCTGTGTACTATTGTCTGAGACATTCAGGTTGCTATTTGCTTGTGGGATACCAAGCTAGTTGAAGCTGTCTTCATTATATGTTATTGTTTTTTCTGGGAATGAGACCCCTCCTGTGTGGACTACCTTCCCTTTCTTTGTCACCATTCGACCATACTTCTCAAGTCTGAATGACATTACGATACCAGTGCTGTAGATCCTGGTGGTGTGGATCAATGAGTCAATGTCAATCAATCAATCAATCAATCAATCAATCAATCAATCAATCATCAATCAATCAATCCTTTTTAGAAAACTGAATTTTTAAATTCCTCCGGAGATAGAGACTTTCAAATTGAATAAAAATGGCTTAGTTACAACTGTAACAACTGTTGTAAAAAAATGGAAATGTTTTAGAATATAACATTTAAAATACTTGGAGAATCTAACTGTCCTTGGTCTTGTTTTATTTTCTGTAGTAACAGTGTGTTTATCTTTATAGTGGAAAGAAGATTCATGGATCTCTGGACCATCCTGACCAGCCGGACATTGATGCCATCAAGATGTTTGTGGGACAGATTCCACGGTCTTGGGCTGAGGATCAACTTCAAGAGCTCTTTAACCCTTACGGAGCAATCTATGAGATTAATATCCTACGAGACCGGAGTCAAAATCCACCACAGAGCAAAGGTCAGTGTGTACTAACAACACATACACACACAGGTGGAGGGCATCCTGAGGGATCCTGTGTGGGTGCCAAAAGTTCTTTTCTGTGGGCCTGTTGGCTCTGTAGGTGAATTGTTGAGCAGCAAATATGAGTGGAAGGGTAAAGGTGATGTGATTACAAACTTCTAAAAGCACTTTTTAGTGGGAATGAGACTGGTCAGTATTTAGTTAGGCCCTTAGTACTGGTACCGAGGAACATGGATAATTGTGAAGTGTTTAGGGGAGATGGGATCTTGCACTGAGTAACATGTTAAAGAAGTTGGTAAAGACCCCTGCTAGCTGATCTGCATAGGCTCTCTGCACTTATATAAACTTAGCACACTTAAATGACTGTGCGATTTTTGGCCATCACACAGGATTGTTCATGTCACACTGTGAGAACTCCAGAAAGGTGTCACACTGTACAGCGCAAGATTTCTGTGAGTCAGACTGTACGACGTCTCGCTACAGCAGGACACGCTACGTCATGAGTGCACCTCCCAAAAAGCAGACCGCTAATCAAAAGAAAGCTTAAGATAAAATAAAGCACTGCTGGTAACACTTCTTTTTAGTGTCAGCTCATGACCCAGCTCAGGGCCGGATTATCATTGCAAGGACCCCTGGGTGCAATGTGCTTAACCCCCCCAATCAATATGAAATGAATTGCATAAAATAGCTATCAATACTGGAGAACCCAAGAACCATAGTCTTCTTTTGACAATTATGATCCATGCATTAACTGACTCTTATAACTTCATCCATCCATCCATCAATTCATCCATTTTCTGAACCCACCTTGTCCACGTAAGGTCACGGGTGGGGGGTGGGGGCTGGTGCCTATCGCCAGCAGTCAACGGGCAAGTAGGCGGGGTACACCCTGGACAGAGAGCCCATCCATCGCAGGGCAACAAAATAATTGTAATGAAATTGGAAGAGACCTCAGGAAGAATAGCTCCACACTATGGATGGAGCTAATGAGGTTCTCAATAAATAAATAAAAATAAATAAATAAATAAACACAGAGACACACACGACAAACACTCACGCACACACACACACACTCACACCTAAGGGCAATTTTAGATAGACCAATCAACCTAACAGTCATGTTTTTGGACTGTGGGAGGAAGCCGGAGAACCCGGAGAGAACCCACGCATGCACAGGGAGAACATGCAAACTCCATGCAGAAAGATCTCAGGCCGGGAAGCAAACCCAGGACCTTCTCGCTGCAAGGCAACGTCTCTAACCACTGCTCCACTGTGCAGCCCATTCTATAAATTCACTGATCATCAAATTATCCACTTTTTCAAATTTGACCCTTTATTACCTAATTTAGGATTAGAGTCAAATTTTACCCATCGGGCTTTATGCATATCATTTTAAAGAATTACAATAACACATACTGTCAGTGTAAACAATTTTAAATAGAGGAAAATAAATCAAACACATAACTACATTTCACTGTGGTATTTTTATTTTTGCTTAATCTTTTGCACATTTAGAACTGGATTTCAAATTTATCAACGCACGTTTGAACTAATCCCATCCTGAGATACATTCCAAGAACTTGTTCTTTCTCCTTTAGTGAAGGGTGCCATGTGTACGTTTTTGCAGCACGATTTGGCTCCATCTGGACTCTAGCAGCATCAGCAAATGGCACATCTTCATCACTGGATGAGTGACTAGACTTGGGCAGAAGATTCACCACCATCATTTCCATACGTTTGAAACAATTAATCAGAATCACTTTCGCTGTCCAATTCAGGGACAAAGTCACTATCATCAGCTTCAATTTGTTCCAAAACTTGTTTTACAGTGAATTGATTCAGATGCCTTCTGTCATGGTCTGCGTCTGCGTCTTTCCCCATGTGTCTCCTGATGTTCTCCGTACACTTGATAACGAGGACAAACAGCCATTTTTACCGCAGTTTTGCTCAAAAACATCAGTTCAGTCCCTGTGATCCACTGGCTGTTTACCTCCTCTCCCTCCTCTCATGGGTTGGAACCCGCACCTTCACACACCGGTGTTACATCATCAGAATTCTGCTCGGTTCGGTAGCCGGACTCCGTGTTTGAAATGTGTTTCCCTACAGCTCCGCACGGAAGCGGCAAAATAACGTTTAGTGCTCATAACAAGCAGATTATCAGCGCGTTGCTCATAAAACAGGATACCTGCAGGCCTCTGTGAGTTAAAACATCCTGATACTGTTCAGGTGTAAACATTGTGCTCCATCCCTGTGTTTGAACTCACAATGCTACTTGATGCCACAGATATGTGATGATTTAGCTTGTTTCTTTATTTTACTCCAGAATAAGAGATTAAATTATTACTAAAGCAGTTCAATGTAGTTAAATTAGTCATTCAAATGATTCTAACATGCTGCAGTGTGTGTGTGTGTGTGTGCGTGTGTGTGTGTTACACATATTGGACTGCATGAGACCGCGTGGTTTCATCAAATCCATCCATCTTATTTCTTGGTTGAAGTAATGGTGAACAAAAATAACTTGTATTTCATAAATAGTGACGTCTCAATCGTGTCTATGATAATATTTTACCTTATCTTTGGTCTGGGAGGTGTAACATATCATGATACAAGCATTTTAAAACATTTTAAAGTGTTACAAGAGGAGATAAATGCATGAATTTAAAGTTCATGTTTGGAGACCAACCTTCACAGTTTGGAGGCTCACACTGGTGAGGAGACACCATTAGTTCTAGTAACACCTGGGCTCCCAAGGTCTATTCTGACATGATGGACGTTACGGGACCCTTAAGGATTCCAGTTGGATGATTGGAGGATTATTTAGGAGGATTGGAATGAACAAACTGATTTCAGTGGTGAAGGGTTAAATGACTGGGTGAACCCACTACCAAGGATGAACTCTGCTAATGTTAAAAATCAGAGAGGAGCTCTAGTATGGACATGGATAAAGGAACTGTAATGTAGAGGTAAAGTAGGGCAGGGCCATCGTTAGCAGCTGCCATTCGGTCCATTTGAATTGTTTGAATTTCATTTGGCTTGTTATGTGACAGGTTAGAGCACAGTTTCGAGTTTTGTCATGAAAACATTGGGATACCTCACATGCTGATGGCATCTAAAAATTACTTTTTTCTCAAAATAAAGAATAATTTTAATCACTATTGAAACCTACAATCCTAGAAAAACCTCGTCCAATCAATGTGCACGTCCTGTTCTCACTGACTTGATAGAAATCGCTCCATCAAATTGTGTGTGTGTGTGTGTGTGTGTGTGTGCACACGCGTGTGTGTGTGTATGTTTGTGCGTGTGCACATGCACACGAGCGAATTGTGACCTGGTGTTGTGATTTTGCACTACTTAGATGTAGCCATCATTACGCTGACAAAAATGTAACTAAGTAACTTTTACTTTGAGTACATTTTATTTACGATACTTTTTACTTTTACTTGAGTAAAAATTTAGGCAAGTACTTTTACTTGTACTTGAGTAAAAAATGATCAAAGTATTGGTACTCAAACTTAAGTAGGAAATTTTAGCACTCTTTCCACCTCTGCTAATTTCTCCAAAAACAATATAAAACATACTTCTAGGCATTCTGCAAGTTAATATAAAGTACAGTAGATTAACACAAATTTTTACCAACTGCTGGTTTGCTGAAAAAATTTTGTTTGTGGAGGTTTCCAGCTCAACAAAATAGCATGTGGTCAGCCTTCTTCTCACTGCCGCTGTGGCTCCTGTCAGTCCAATATGCATCCACTATAGGTGTCTCTATGCAAGGGTGACAAGTGGCACTCTGGGTTTTAGAAGATACATTTGATTAATTTTAAATCGTTGATTTTGAGTAGCAGCAATCAACAGTGGGCAAATTTGACCCTGTGGGTCCTCCAGTTAAACTTATATTGTGCGCATCACAAAAAAAAGAAGTTTCTACTATGAGGTGTTGAGTTGCTATGCCCCACCTGACTCATCCTGCCAGAGATATGACAATGTCAGTAAAGTCCAAATTCCTGACAAGCTGAGATCCAATGGCCACCAGTGACAAGTCTCTCTGAGAGACAGGGTTTGGAAAACACTCGCTTCAGTCGGAGGAATCTTCCCGCAAGCGCTCTGGTTCTGCGACGCGCTCCAAGCCCCTCTCCACATCTTCAGCTCGCTGTGCACCTTACGTACGCGCTGACAGTGAGCTGCGCTGAGCAGTGTCCAGCTCAGATGTTCAGAAGGAAATCTTTTCTTGAGTGATTTAGCTACATCTGCGATATGCGAAACGAATTAAGTGTCAGTTCATCTGCATGCGTCTGGGTAATTCTTTCTATTCTTTCTCCGTCAAAATAAACGGTCAAATACGGGAACTGTCCGGTCAACACAAGCCCTGCTTTTAACTGTTCAGTTTTCTTGTGAAAATTGTTGCAAAGAGATATAATTTAACTTGATTAACACCAGAGCCAGGTGCACTGCGACGTTATCTCCGTCACTGTAAATGAGGGAAAAACAAAATGATCGGATCCTTTTCTGACCTTCCCCACCTACAAAGTTTAATTACAACAATCAAACGTGACAGAGCCTGGATTTGTATTCTGAACAGTCTAAACATGTTTTAAAAACAAAAAAAGTGGCACCTGCTCAGTAAAACCATCAACAGGGTGAAAAATATCAAAATACTGTAGGCAGAGACGGGCTACAACTTCTGGATCCATTTTATATAAATTGTTTTATTGATTATCGTCTTATGAAAGATAACTTTGACGTACATGAGCGACCGGTACTGGCTGCTGTCACCTGTTGTGATTGGTTAAAGCAGCTCTCTGCTGTCTGAGGGTAAGCCCTGTCCACAACGCCGCGGCTGCTGTGGCTCCCAGTGTTTTCTTTACTGTGGGAAACGGGTAATAATGGCTCTTTGATGGGAACAGGTTGCCGACCCCTGTCTTAATTAAACTAACTTAATTTACCATAAATGACTAATGACTGAAATAGAAATGACTAATGGCTGGTATATAATAAAATGT